TTTTGGTCATGGCAGTCACTAATCGGTCAATGTCTCACTTTGTACAACGTGAGATGACCTTAAATTAAAAATAAAATTATCATTGGAGATACATTTTAGTAAAATAAATCAGTTATTATTTATATGTCAAAATTGATCATCATTAAGTTAAGAGAAATACTTCCTTCATTAATTGAACAATTAAAAAGAGAAAAAATATTAATGGAATCAATCTTAATATTTCACCTAGTAATTCTTTTTTTTTCTAAATTCCTATCTTTTCTATTGCAGATTGTGACTATTCCAAACTTCATCCTTTTGTCATGATGATACTAAGTTAGTGCGAACATGTCCAACATCAATTGCTGATTATTGTTCAATAAACATGTGCAAATTGTATCCTTTTTGTTTTCATATCTCTGTTTCTAAATACTGATCAAGTAATCTATGCAATCAATCATAATTGAAATTTGTGATTTGAATTTGGTTTTTTCTAAACATTGGCAAAACTGGTTTTGTATGTCGTTTATACGTTGGACTACTAAGTGTGATTATTAGACTTTCCGCTATGAAGCCGAATTTTTTTTTGTTCATATTCTAGCACGATCAAATAAATGAGGATTTGCATAGATTTGTTTCGTATGTATGTGATAACAAGAAAGAAGAAAGTATATCATATGATCTAAGAAAACGTTTGAGTACTGATATTCCAATGGCAGAAAAAAGCGGAAGTATCGAAGCGACAGATATTCATTTTCAAGATTCTCTATTTTAGAGATTTTCTTGCAGGTTTCAATATACCTTGGAAAAATGAAAATAGTATGCTTTTGGATATAAAACTGTGCTTTCGATGTTGTCAAAAACTAACATGACAAACGTGTAGCTCGTTAAGTTCTCTATTAAAGAGCAATTTGAGTTGACACCAGATCCGTGTTCTGAATACTAACGGTGTGAATTTGGGTGAAGATCAAGGTATTGTCTTTACCCTCACTAACGCCAGCACCTATACTCTCACGCTAGCTCCACATACGCCACACAGCCCAAATGCATACTCTCACACCCCACATCCCAGATCATTCTTATATATATGTCGATACATTGAACTATGTCTAATATTGCATTGACAATACTCCTTCTGCTGTAGAATTTTTTATCGAACGGTAGTGGTATTGTATAGACAAAGACTTTTTGGGATTTCTTGGAGAAATACAACACTTCACGCATTATGCACAAGCTGAGAAGCTTCTTTCTAGTAAAAAATTTGAATACTGAATCCTTTTCAAAAGTGATTATTATATGGAATTTCTATTGTACTGATTCGTTTGTCGCTTAGACATAACTATGTCATAGAAACGAATATAGTACAAAGATCTGTCATTGCAACAGAAAATTTCAAAACTTGAAAACTACTGGTTTGCTTGTATTTGCTTTATAAATGTCCGATAGTTCGACATACTGTTTGATTATATTATTCATACGATCGAGCAGAATTTGTCGATTATGATCATTCTCATCGAGACTATTGATCATCTCCTGAATATTGTAACCGCACCAGAATGCATTTCTACGATTGTAGGATGGACGATTGTCTTCAACATTTCCAAAAACTTCCTTTATAATTTGAATATCATCCGGCATCTTAAAACGATCACGACTATCTTCGTAGCTGAAGAGATAATAGAAATTATCATAGCCAGCCCAAGTAATAGCCGAAAGACAAAGCGAACAAGGCTCTTGGGTACTGAGAAAGATGCAATCTTTCTGATCGGGTAAGCTGGATCGATCCTTTGTTTCCCAGAGCTTTTTGATTGTGTGCACTTCACCATGCCAAAGTGGATTTTCTACTTCATTGTTGGATTCGGCAATAATAAGTGAAAGGTCTAATTTTTTAAGAATAGCTGCGCCACAGAGACCATTGCCTTGTGTAACACCGGCTCGAGTCTTGGGTAAAATGTCCTGTTCAATGATGGTGAAAAATCGGCTAATCAGTTCGACAGTATTCATCTGAAAACGAAATCAAAAATTATTTTATTTGGGCAGTTTCAACATGGTCTTCCATAGCTTTGCTTTCAATGTATGCAACGACTACTGCAGTTATATTCGGTTGTTTTATTTATTCAAGTGCTTCTTTATCTTCTATCTCGTGAGAAGGGTCGTTGACTGTCACTTTTTCTGTTGTATTTACACACTCGATATACTGTTGTTTCTTTTCTATCATAGATTTTAAAAAAGCACTAGAAGACTTTGGGTAGCATTTTATAATTTTTCTATCATAGCTCGCTAAATTGCTGTTATACTTGATCGATAGTGTTATCTCGTGATTGATTATACAGTTTGCGCCAATTCATTTTCTCCCTATTATTTTTCTTGCATAGGGCTATTCAATTTGGTTTCATCAAGGAAAGATGTGAGTGTGGATGTAGATGAAGATAATGGTGTCCCTTTCTGATTCACACCTACACACCCCCTTAATAAATGATTCAGTTTAAGTAAGAATCTGAATATTGTCAAAGGGCTTATTTTCGCTGCAGCAACTGAGACAAAATATTCTTATTAGACAAAAGTAAATTGTGATTAAATGCTGTTACATTATTCTGAAAGAGCATTTCATATTCAATCAAAGTGCTATAAACGTTGGGTTTGTTCGTGTCTAATTGCACTGTGAAGAAAAATCGAGACAAAAAACATGGTAAAAATGAGTGAAAAGTGCAGACATTTCATACAATCATACTACGTGACCTATAAAAATATTCATTTCTATTGTTTTAAATTAAAATTAATAGAAGTTGGTTAAGAATTCGATAGCATATATTTTAGAGAAAAATTCAATGTTTTATGCGTTGTCTACTCGGAAAGAGCATGAGTGGGTGAGGCTGAGGGACTGCTTGTCACTCACCAACACCCTTTTCTCTTCATTTGACTAGATGCATGCAAAGTACACAATACATACAGGATTGAGAAGAAGTTTATCCTTGTAAAGAATCTTCATATCTATGGTTTGCTCATCTCAGCCATAGTGTAGACGAATTTTTCGGCGACTACATCAATACAAGCGGGTAGTTGGATGAGAATTCTCTTCATTCTTACTCCAAAATGCACGAAGGAATATGTTGATGATGGTCGACTTCTTTCACATAGTTTCTGAAGTCCATTAATTATTACACACAAAAAAGAGCATTGCATCGTTTTTCACGTAGAGTTACAAGAATGAAGAAGAATTTCATCGATTCGGAGAATTCTACAAATGAAAATAAAAAACACAATGTTAATATTGTGAGAAAGAAATTGAGGAATTTCTTTCCTGATGATAAGAACAAGTGCTGGATGAGAAATTCTTATTAAGTATTTGCAAAAATGACATAGAAGATACGATTGACAAGACGAAATCACTCAGAGAGAGCTTTAAAAGTGTTTCATTCATTTTAAAATATCAATAATCAATATCCAGTCTTCGTACTATGGTTCCAGTCGGATTGATATGCAGATGTGATGTAAAATAGTGCGTTTTAATCTCAATCATATTGATTGTATCTTTGATGTCATTGATTTTATAGATTTCATGCGTAAAAGCAAATAGATTAGCATGATCTTTCGAGATCAACTTCTTGTTGCACTTGAAATGAGTAACATAGACTGGATCAAATCGAAGCAAAGTAGGAAAAGCTCGAATATCGGCTTCGGTCAAATCGATAAGATAGCGTTGTTTTGACAGTATCCGTTTTCAATGTGTCCAACATCGAAAAGACATCTTCGAATGCTGCGTCATAAGTTTCTTGAGATTCGGCAAAATCAGCTCGATAAACACCATTGTTTAAGTTTTCATAGACTTGCTTGTTCATTTCATCGATACGCAAACGAAGCATTTTCGGATACAAATCCAATGTTGGATTAAGAGTGTGCTGATTGAATTCAAAATTGAGCATTCGAATGATCTCCGGTGATTCATTGTTGACTATTTTTTGTGCCTAGAATTTATTTGAAATAGAATATGAAAACACACATGATCTTTGAGATAGGCAAATGTTGGATGATGCGGATCAGGCGTTTCTTTACTGAATGTCTATCCATCATCTGTTTTGAAATCAAGATAACTTTCGATGGCAGAATACGAAATTACATGATCGAGTCCTTTCAATTTCAATACGATAAGTGTTCGATGAGCCTTAGAAAAAAAAAGACATCAATAGAAAACCATTGAGAATATCGGATGGGACTGAAAACTTACCCAAGAACACGCATATGCGATATAGAGATGATAACGATTTGCTTTCGGCGGATACTCAGCAGATGGCTCATTTTGAATCTATTTGCGGAAGATTGAGACTAAAGTGTATC